CCAAACCAATCCCTAAAAAGGGCCAGCACCATTCCTAGGAATTCCCAGAGGAGGTCTGTCCTATGCAGACATTTAGTTCAGATCCCAGCAGCCCCTTTCTAATCTTGGAGTTGAAGGAGGAGAGAGGAAGTGCATGAAGATTAGGAAAAGCATCGTATCTTGGAAAAGACTAAGGACAATGGGACATGCTACCAGGAGAGGTTGGGAAAATACCAGGGCTGGAGAGAGACTTGGTAGCTAAACTTTGTGGTTGCTTATTTGAAAGGGAAGTCAAAGATACATCAATGCAGGAAGATGGTCCAGACCCTTCTAGTCTAGCAGAAGGACGTCCCTTCTGCTATATGATGCTAGGTGTGAAATGGTCCAAGGGTTCTCCAGGATCCTTATAACCTTGTTCATGCCTACAAGGCAAGGAATTTCCTACCGGTGAAGGAATGTGTTTGGATTCATGCGTCATGGAAGGGTTTGGGACGGGTCTACAATGCTCTTCAATGCAAAATGAAAGCCAGACTTACGCTAACGTTAGTTTTATCACTTCCACCAGAAGAAATACTCCATCGTTTTATAACCTAAGCATGCATAAAAGAGAAAAAAAATCTTTTGTTGTTACTTTAACCCCTGGTATCTGCAGTTTGCCATCTCAGGGCAAGCTGAAGATGGGGTATGATTTCCAGTGGGGGTCCCCAGCAGCAAATGGCAGCAAAAGGGGTGAAGAAAGCTATCTATTTTTCTTTGTACTGCTTTGGATGTTTTTAAACCAATACCCACTCTGACTTTCCAATAGTAATCTTTGCAAGCTCACCCTCTCAGGCTATATCCAAGGAAAAATCACAACTTGAAAAAGATTCAGTCAATATGCAAAGGCCACCTTCACAGCTTCTTTCCAGCAGTTCAAAGCTCTTTGATGCTGACACTGGCAACTTTAATTCTAGATAGGTGCATCTCTGAAATACTCAAAACACCTCAATCTATAAAACCCTCCTGCAAACATACCACAGATTAGCTTTTACATGGTGTTTAGGCATTTCTGATTTTACAGCTGTGTCACAGAATCACAGAATCACAGAATTGTAGTGGTTGGAAGGGACCTCAGAGATCATCGAGTCCAACCACAAAAAAAAAAAAAAAAAAAAAAAACCAACCACCACCAAACAAACAGTACCTAAATAATAGAAAAAAAGGCTGAGACATGAAATTCAGGGAAAGGCATTGGGATTCTGGGCCAGCACAGGCTTCTTTGATCTGAACCTGCATGCTAGATTCACTGTCCCTCTCATTCTGTAATGCTGGACAGCCCATAATGACACCTTGCCACACACAATAAGAGCAGGATTTGCTGGGACCAACATCTCTGGAGCTCAGCACAGCACTGCTGTGAGATCTGAAAGCAGACCAAAGTGTCTGCTGTGCTCTGCTTCCACAAAGAACCAAACTAAACCTCTTGTACAATCATCTTCTGAGCTCTGGTCTTCCCTCTAAGGAAGTCCCATCAGAAATAAGTCCTGCTAGTGCCTCTATAGCCATGCTGCAGGTGACTCTGCATCCTGCATCTGACTTTTTCTTGTAAATGACTGAGAATGTTACAAATCATAGAATCATAGAATGGTTCAGGTTGGAAGGGACCTTAAAGATCATCTACTTCCAGCCCTCCCCTCCCATGGGCAGGGACACCTCCCACCAGACCAGGTTGATCTTGAACATCTCCAGGGATGGGGCAGCCACAGCTTCCCTGTGCAACCTGTTCCCATGTCTCACTACCCTCACAGTAAAGAATTTCTTTATAGTATCTAATCTAAATCTCCCCCCTTTCAGTTTAAAACCATTACCCCTTGTCCTATTGCTACACTCCCTGCTGAAGAGTCCCTCCCCATCTATTCTATAGACCACCTTTAGGTACTGGAAGGGGCTATAAGGTCTCCCCTTAGGCACAACCTGAATTTAATTTCCTACTGCCAACATGACCTTGCTGCTTGTTTTTTCCCTTCTGCTGGAGTTGATGCTCTTCCTTGCGACCTTTGGGCTCTTGGTCAGCAGGACTAAAGGGCTGAGACATGGGGGAGGTGGCATCTCATCTGCCCTCCTTTATTTGCATTATCCATATCAAGTACTGCAGAGGCTCCTGATAACTCTTTCTAGTACCAATTCCCTGCCCCATTGAAAGGCTGCAAGGTCTTTCCCTCATCCTGCCTCCCTCAAAAATCTTTTTTTTTGCCCTAGAAGTTTGTTCCTGTCAAGCAAAGCCAAGTATATTGTGATCAGCTGCAATAAATACCCTTGTGCTACATCTAATTAGAATGCAGTCCCCAAGAAGTGCTACCACCATCACCTACATCCCATTTCTGGGGCTTTCCTAAATACTGATGCCCATTACTGCCACCTTGGTTTCCAACCCAGCTCCTGCAGCTGGGGTAGAACATTTCTGCTGTCCCCACTTTCTGCCCAATCTCCCTTCCAGCTAGATTTCCTCAAAACTGGTCTGGTTTCCAGATCTTAGCTACGAGTGGATGGATGGGACAGTTGGAGATGACCTGATCGGGGATGCAAAGGACAGACACAAGGAACAGAACAGGACAACCGAAACTCCATTCACCAAAAACAGACATAAGGACTGACATTCTCCTTCTCGGCTGCTGACCACGCTGCAGATAAGCTAGTGGTGCTTCTGTGACTCTGCGTGCCTCATGTGGTGAACATGTGCTTGTGGCAACATGCATGGTTAGAAAATCAAGGTAAGACATTCAACGAGGGCTCCTAATCTTTCCTGCTTCTTCCTGTGCTCCTGCTGGCATTAGAGAGCTCTGGGAGATGATGGTTCTGCAAGTGTCTGACTAACCTTGCTGTCCGTTGTTGGAGACTCCTTCTCCTTCTCTGCGTGCTGGAGTTTTCTGTTCAGGTCTTGGAACATGTCTTGGTGACGTTTTCTTGTGTGCATGATTTTCTGAGGCAGAGACAAGGGACACAGGTCAGGAAACCTTATTCAGCTGTAGAGAAGCAACATGTCTTCCCCCCAGGCTTACATATGTTCTTAAAACCTGCCTCTGTCTCCCTGCAGGTGCAATCTCCTGTGCCTGAACTACCTCCAAAGTTCACTGAGCACCCAGTGTAGCACTGCCTCTATTTTCAGGAATGAGATGGTGGGAGAAAGTGGAAAAGACTAATTTTTGACCTTTTGGTTATCCTAAACCTGCAGCTGATGACTGTTTATACTGCAGAATTTGTGCTTGACTGCAGTCACTACTGCTCCTTCAGCCCTCCGAAAGCATTTTGCTCACAGAGGAGAAGTTACAGGCCTTGGGCAAGCCGACATAGGATTTACAAATGTTTACACAGAAGCTACTGCTCCATAAATTAAGCATTTATCAATATAAGTCACTCATTTGTTTAGCTGCACAGTGTAAGCCTTATTTGGCATCCAGCACAACTCTTTTAACCCACCAGTTTTAAACCCTTGAAGAAGCTCTCTGGCAAAGGCAGCACCCCCAGAAAGGTGCCAGAAAGAAAAGAAAACAACATTTCTTTTTCTCATCCTACTCCTAGAAAAGCCCGTTCAGAAAGGGATGTACTCACCTCAAAATCTAGCTCTGCGTACCGGGATTTCCGCCTCTGGGTATTCAAAAGAAAAAAGAAATGGGTGAAGATTAATAAAGGGTTGATACTGGTGAGTAGGCACAAACTCAACCACACAGTAGATAAAACAGGGACAGTCCCTCTCCTTTTCCTTCTTCCTACACCTTTAATGTGTTTCTCTGTCTCTTCATGGTAGAACGTGGCAGTCATTTAGAGGGTTTTTTACCAAAAAACCACTGAGCCTTGAGGAGGGTTAAGTATGTAAGTTTGACCATTTCAAGCTCTGTCCTAGCTACGAGCTTGCAGGTCATCAACAGAATGGGAAGCAGAGAGGGAGCAGTAGATCAGCCAACTGATCTACTGGAGCTTTTGAGCACCTCAGTCAACCACAACTGAAGCTTGGATAGCAATGGCCAAGACCTGCTCTCTGACAATAGGCAAGAAAAGGGCCAGATGCCCTAGGACAGACCTCAGCGTAAGATCTAAGGTCTAGGGAGAACAGCTAATACATGTAATGAGCTGTCACAGAAGGAGAGGGCTGCACTTATGCTAACCTTCTGACATCTCTCCGATGCTAAGAACATTATAGGGTGTTCCTTAGGGACATTCTACACCTGTGATCACTAGGGTTTTCTCATCTGTATCATGGATGAAGTCATCAAAATTGGAAACAGAGGCAGGGGATAGAAGGAGAAAAGGTAATGCAAGCCACGTGCCTTGCTCTAAATTGAACAGTCTTTGAAAAAGTAACATTTTTATTGGACTTTGCATTGCCTGTAGGGCTAAAAACAGTTCATCAAATGATGGAATATGTCTGTAGAAGTCGTGAGAGATTTTAAACATTACATTACAACATGGTCTCACATGCCAGTGATCCCTCATGATAATATAATACTGACATTGTGTAGTAGGCTGCATTTGCTAAGGTGGTTCTCTCAAAACATGTGATGTGGCCAATGTTGAGGGCAAGGCATCATTCTGGGCTGAGAAGACAATAATTCACATGCTTACCTCTAAGGAGCTCATGGAGAGGGTGGAGACAGTCTCACTCTTGGACACCACACCCGAGTTCCCTGAGTCACCTGTGTCACACAGGCTGTTGGGAATCTGTGACTCGTTGGAGATATTTTGTGGAGCCAGCTGCTGCTGCTGTTGTATCATGGGGGAACCTTGCACTTCACTGCATGTCATGGTCACAGGCTCCCGTGGAGGACTCTTGACAACAAAGCCTGGATCAGTAGCCATACTGAGGTGGATGAGCCGTGTCTGGGGCATCTGGTCAATATTGATGCTGTATTTGCTCTCATCTTTGGGTGGTTTGGCCCTTAAGGTAGACGTGTTGGTAGGCAGAATGACGTAGCTGGTGTCCAGCGTTTGCTCTTGTGCCCGGGAGAGTTCGGAGTCCAACTTCTTGAAGATGTCTCCATCACAGATGTAGATGGACTTAGGTGGTTGGTTCTTATCCTTCTTCAGAGTGAGACTGTGATTGCTGAACTCATTCAGGTTGATGGCCCCCAGGTAGTGTGGTGAGCCCTGAAGATGCATCTTGGAGACGTTGGCTGGAAGACTGTTAAAGTTTGATGACCCCTTCTGGTGATTGAGTTTCAATTTCTCTTCATCTGGCAGTGATGGACGCTTCAGTGTTCCTGTGATGGTTGAGGTCCTGCAGGTGGTGATGTCTTTATTCAGCACTAGGGGGACAGATAAGTATCCTTAGCACCTCACCTGGGTTTTTGTTAACACATCAATACACCTACTACAGTCACACCACGCTAGCATGTTCCCTTGGACCTCTCAGAAAGAAGCTATGGTGGCAAAACAATGATTTATACTGGTGTGTGTTTGTTTGTTTGTTTGTTTGTTTTAAATCCAGGATGCTGGAGGCAAAGCTAGGGAGGAAAAAAAATTCTCATTTTTGAGAGAGTTCTCTGTGATGGGAATTTTCCAACATAATCTTGGCAAAAACTCCCAACTAAGCCAACACATATTGTCATATTGATAACAATATCTTGTACATATATTTAGTACATGTAGTATATGTATATATATGAAATATATACATGTTACTAACCTATGGAGTAGAATTCTTTAAAATAAAAGGTTGCTTTCATGTCAAAAATTACTTTGATTCAGGAAATAACTGAAATGCAGCATTATCAATGATTCAAATACAAATTCTTCTTTTTTAAAAAGTCACTGAACTGCTTCAGGTTACTCTTTTCCCTTGAACAGTTTCAGTGTCAGTGATTTGGTATTTTAAAATACACCACGTTTTTAAAAAACTTTCTAACTGCTCTCCAAAAAGCTTATGTTCTTGTGATCATGGCAAGTCTTCATGAGAGTTAATTATTTGGTGTTTTCCAGCTCCCCTTGAGGAAAGAAAAGAGTGCCATGAATATTCCTTAATAGGAGAAGAAAACCTTAAACTGAGGACAAGGTGAACATGCAATTAGGAGGTATATAAAGGACACACAGACACTCATTCCCACACAACACTGTCCACAACAAGACATCTGCTCCTTTTCTGGGCCTAAGAATCTATTGCTCAGTTGATTTCAGGCTGCAGCAAACACCTTTGGAAGATAATGATATCAGCTTTGATGTCTCCAGGGGATGGAAATCACAAACTGTATGGGGCAGGGACAAAGTGTGGGATGGAAGGCTACTTACCTGGTATTTCAGCACAGGAAAGGAGAAATAAATGCATGTTCCTCTTTCAACCATCTCAGAAGGAAAATAGACCCAAAGGTCCTTTTATCTATTTTTTCTCAATGGACTAGAGACAAGGATCTTTGGGGCAACCTGATACTATTCAGCTGCTCCACTTGGTACAGAGGCAGAACATGACAGAGACATCCCATGGGACTGAGGACACACTAATTTTTCTATTAATTCCTACCGGGAATGATGGGTGCTGGAAGAGCAAAGCTCTCCTCAAAGACTACAGAGCAGGTAAGGCAGGATGACAAGGACACCAAGTAGAATAAAAGAACTTTTAAAAAGCTGTTAAACACACTGGGTGTAACTATGGCAGCCACAGTCATCTTGACATTGCTAGAGGACACGCTAGGATAAGTTGGAGCATTACAGCATATTCAGAGCATACAGTGAGGGAAGATGTTACTGAGTCAAACCCTCCACTTGGGGGTGTCAGGTTTATTGATTCACGCTCTTCTCCATGCTCACATCAGCTGCACAAACTAGGTTTGGAGAGGTTTGCACTTGGTAATCTCCAAGCATGGAGCAGAGTGAGCTTTCAACACTGGGCCATTAACAGGGAATCCAAGTGAGAAGGTCGTGAGCAGTATCAGGCATACCTCCAGGCTGTCAACAGGAGACGCACTGCCTCCAGAAGAAACAATGGCCATAATCCAATAGGCAGATTTCTATTTTTAATTACTCAATAAGCAGTATGTATAGGATGGTGCACTATATAGAAAGATCTCTGAAATGGGGACTAAGTACTTAGCTTGGTGCAGACTAAGAGCACTTTATCAGAGGAGGACTATCTCTTCAGGCAGGTGTCAACAAACTATATATCGCTGTGTGCTGGCAAAGGAAGGGAAGCCTAGACGGTTAGCAAGCTGCTTATCCAGGGTCTTCTGCCCTGAAGTCATGTGAAAATGATCAGCTCCTTCCTTTCCTCTGGGAAGCTCGATTTGGGAGGAAGAAACTTGGTAGCAGATCAGAAAGGCTCCTGTATTGCAGGAGCGCAGGGTCTGCCTTGGTTTCCAGCAGAAGATGGGCTGCTGGCTCTGTAACTGCTTGTGTGTGTCAACACCCAGCCTAGATAAACCTTCGTTGAGCATGTGTTCAAGTCAGACCTGGGCTCACGTGCACCTTTCTCACATGTGACTTTGTGGTACCGAGGTCTTCGGTGTCAAAAAGGAAGGAGGAAAACAAATGAGAAGAGGAAGACAGCTAGAAATTAGATTAGAGAGTGTGAGACAGAGACACAGAAAGGAAAAAATGGACAGACCCTGAAAAGAGATAAATGGACAGAAAGAGACCATGAAATAAGATATCACAGGGATAAGTGAGATAAATATACTGTGACTGTGATAAGCATAGGGAGAGGGAGTGAGGCAGAAAGAAGGACAGGAAAAGATAAATAAGATATAGATAGATATTAGATAGATAAATGGTAGTGACAGTGATAGACAATGCACAGAAACACAGTGACAGAGATAAATGTTGACAGAGGTATAAATACATAAATAAAAGGTACAGCACAAGAGACAGTTGAGGACAGAGATAAATAAGTGATTGCAAGATCGAGAAAAAGAGATGAATTATAGATAACTACATAAGAAGCAGATAAATAAATGATAAATTAGGTAAAGAAAAAGACAAATGAAAAGGACAGGTAGGTAGGCATGTGTAGAGAGAGAGAGAGGAGAGAAAAAGAAAGAGAAAGAAAGAGAGAAAGAGTAATAAAAAGAGAAACAGAAGCTTTACCATGATGGCAACGGAACACACAATATGTACTGTCCTTGGCTAGGGGAGATCCTGGTTTGGAAGATATGAATTCTATGCAGGTGCCAAGCAAGCTGGTATTTCTCTTGCTTGGGAGAGGGGAGAAGTCTGGGAGGGTAAATGAAAGCCTAAATATCTACAAAGGGTAAGAAAAAAACCCCCAGCCAGGCATGCCAGGACCAGGAGAATACAAAACCCGCAGAGACGAACAGGTAGCAAAGGAGAATCCAGACAGCACAGACATCCCCAGGACAACGAGAGAAAAGGGAGTTATTGGGGAAAGGGGCCATCAACTCATGCAGATCTTCAGGATCATAATTTGTGTGACTGAACACACAGCAGAAAGGTGAAGGCAAAGGAGGAGAGACCTGAGAGCCACCCTCTCAGGCTGGGAGGAGACCCACCTCCATACAGACTTACAGCTGCACCAGAGGTGGAGTGGTAGGAAGGTTCTCCAGACTCCCAGACCTTCTCAAAGACACCCCTTCCTGGCCCCAGAGCTGTCTGGGGTTGGTGCGACCCCCTTGGGCAGGGGTTGCTAAAGCAAAGAAGGATCACAGTAGGAAGAGATGCATTCAATCTCTTCTTCCTTGATACTCTTCGATGCCACGTGGGCCACAGGAAAGAAATAATATCTCAGAGG